TATATATATATATATATACACACACAAACATGGTAAAATTGTTGGACAAGTTCTGATACCAGGCTACAGCTAGTCAAAATGTACCAAGTAAACACATTTTCAGGATCAACTGACAGTGATAGCAGTTGGTGAAATATTATGTTGTGTTAAAAATAATGAATTAGATAGAGGTTGTAAAAGAAGAACAAAAGTGGACTACAAGGTCACTTTCTTGACTGGTACTTTAATAGCTAGACTGGGAAAAAGAAAACAAAAAGCAAAGAACAGTTAAGTTAAGCCAAACTTCCAAAAGAGAAGAAACAGAGAAAAAAATATAGGCTAGCCTCTAGGCATTTTAAAATCTTCTAATGTTGTTTCTTGTCTGTCCTTTATTTGTTATCATTAGGGCCATATCTTACAAATCATCCTATTTTCCTTCAGTTGGAGTAATCACAATACCTAATAATAAATGTGCTTGGGACTGGGCCTTACAAATGTAAGCTCATTGTCACAGGGACCCCTTTTCCTCTTTGCCTGGGAGACTCAAAGCTGCAGTGATTTCTCCAGCTATGCTTCCTCATTATTAAATGTAGATTACCTCAACAGGGACCAGAAATAAAACAGTCCTTCCTTCTTAAGCCCTACTCTACACTAGGGCTATGTCTACACTACGAGTTTTCTGGGCAAAAAATATGCTAATGTGGGAGTCATTTGCATAAGTCACAATCTCATTTGCCTATTTTCTGCTGATCTGGTTTTGCGCTGGGGTTTTTGCACAAAAATGAGCAGTGGGGATGTTTTCTTTTAGCTCAAAAACCCCTTTTTCCACAAGATCCTTATGCCCCAAAAAAGGAGGTATACCGATGTTGCGGAAAAAGGGTTTTTTGCCCAAAAAAACCCCATCCACACTGCTTGTTTTTGCGCAAAAACCCCAGCGCAAAAACGGATTTGCAGAAAATATGCAAATGAGATAATGACTCATGCAAATGAGTCCCTCATTAGGATATTTTTTGCCGAGAAAACTCGTAGTATAGATGTAGCCTAGGGCTTTATTTAGAAATACCTACCCAGGCTCAATTTATAAGCAGAGGGTCCATTCTGCCAAGCCCATTATTTTGAAATAATGGGCTGTGGAATTTGAAATCTTTACTCCTGCTTTTCATCAGGAATAATGCTAATTACGAAACAGTTATTTTGAAATAACGGCAGTGTGGACGCTCTGGTGCTGCTATTTTGAAATAATTGGTCCCCAGAGTAATTCAAACTGATTACTCCCCAATGCTTCCCATGGCTCTAAGTCCGAGGTAGAACATCCACATTAATGGAGCCAACCTTGGACTTCCCAATATTGAGGCCTTGCTAGGCTGAATTTATGAAATCGGAAATTCTGAAGTTGAATTTAGTAATTTTGAAATAGTTTCCTAGTTTAGACATGGTCTGTGACCCATCACGCATCCCAAATAGACATTATTAAAAGTTGTAGCTGATAGTTTGAGAATAATCATACACTACAATTTGTTAAATGATTAATTAAACAATTATAAATAGCAAACAGATGCTGTGAAAATATTACCTGTTTCACAATTTATGAACCAAAAAAGGACCTGCATTTGCCAAATAGAATGTTACTTCCAAATTGTTTTGTGCAACTCATTACAAGAGGAACTGTTTGTATCTTAATTTAGCGTTGCTGTTGTTGAAATAAGAGTATATACATTTTCTCTCTTTTTCACACAGGTGCCACCAATCCTGCTGGATAAGCAGTTCTCAGAATTCACACCAGACATCACACCCATTATTTTGGCTGCCCATACGAACAATTATGAGATAATAAAGCTTCTTGTACAGAAGGGGGTTTCTGTACCTAGACCACATGAAGTGCGCTGCAACTGTGTTGAATGTGTCTCAAGCTCGGATGTGGACAGTCTTCGCCATTCTCGATCCAGACTCAACATTTACAAGGCTCTGGCAAGTCCGTCTTTGATTGCATTGTCCAGTGAGGATCCTTTTCTTACAGCATTTCAACTGAGTTGGGAGCTTCAGGAACTGAGTAAGGTGGAAAATGAGTTTAAGTCAGAATATGAAGAGTTGTCACGTCAATGCAAGCAATTTGCAAAAGACCTCCTGGATCAGACCCGGAGTTCCAGGGAATTGGAAATTATTCTTAATTACCGAGATGACAATAGCTTGATAGAAGAACAGAATGGTAATGATCTTGCACGATTGAAGCTGGCAATTAAGTACCGTCAAAAAGAGGTAAGTGTGCTGGAGAATATTTAGGCATATTTAATAGCAATAATGTGATAGATAATTGCTTGGAATATTGCCCTTTAAGTGAGACAGCTTCAGAGGTGTGGGATTTTTTTGTTGCTGTTGTACAAGGGCCTCCTTTTTATTATTAGAGGAACATAAGAGGTTGTTATAGTTCAACTAGAATTTTAAATATTCTGTAACATTTCAGATCATGGGAGACTATTTCACACCTTGAGCATACGTTATCACTAGCAGAGAATAACATTAAGCCAGTTTCTGGTAACAGAGCAAGCAATGCAAAGAGTACTTCTCAAACCTGATCCATTAACTGTGTCTGGCTGGCAAAGTGTGAATATCATATGTTTACAGGCTAGGTAAATGACATGCCTGTTGTTACAGAATGATTTTCTTCAGAAAGGAGCCCATTTTTCTAAATACATATAGGCTTGGTGACTCACTAATATTAACAGGTGAATCCTAAACATTATATATGCATTTTTTATTTGAATAAGTATCCAAACGTAGATACTATCTTAAAGATTTTCTTGTCTGCCAAAACAGAGTGGAAATTTAATGAGGATATGAAACTGCCTGTGTGTCTTTTCAACTTTGTAAGGTTCTTATATGTCATAGTATAGAGTAAGAACCTAGACAGAATGCTAATTTTTTAATGAGATTTCCAAAACCTGTGTATCTGAGCCACAAAACTTGTGCAGCAGGAAATTAACATGCCATTTGGGACTTTTACTTTCAATAGTAATTCCAATAAAGAAGTCTAAAGTCAAAAAGAAAAGTGTATCAGAGACTTTCAAACCTTAGTAGTAGTACTACTACTACTACTACTACTAATTAAAAATTATTCCAGTCAGATTTTAAAAATGGGCTAAGGTTCCAAATGTCATTACTTTTAATTGAACCTACTCACCCCATCCTATATGAAGTCCCTGGCCCTGCAAACAGTAATCTCCATGTTTTACATTGAGTACATAGGTAGAATTTGCAGAATCTGTGGCAGACCTATTAAATTGTGGTTTCCATTTATGCTAACATTTACTGACACATACAGTCAACAATGATCTACTGATTGGGAAAAGGTCTACATTGCTAGATATTTCATATTTAAATTTCATGATAGGCTATTGTTAAGACTACTCCATATGATCTAATTCTAGAAAAGAACCTTTGGTTTTTAATACAGCGAGAAATGATTGACACTATTTTTCATTTGATGTTTCATTATTTCAAGAAGCATGCTCACTGGTATCCTAAATTGCTTACTGTAATGTAGTTTCAGGCATCCCACATCAGACTTTTTTAGAAACTAATCTGTTTGTCTCATTTATATTTCTTTAAATGTGAAATCCGAATTAATAATTTATACATCTACAGTCATTTAGCAAATGTTGGCTGTGACTAGGATTTTCCAATAGATTCATGCATTTAAGAGCAGATTTTGCACAGTTTTTTGAAATCCTAATTGCAAAGCTTGAGTTTTTTCCTAATTTGAGTCTTAGGTAGTGAGAGGCATCTGCAAGTGCAAATGGGTTGTATAATCCCAGATGATTTCCATGACTAATTAAATTGTAGTAATACAGATAATTGTCCTTTATAGAGTCTTTGTAATGGCAAACATTAAAGCAATACCAATTCTCAGGGCAATGATTCCAAACCATTGGATCATCTACATTTTGTATATATTTTTCAGTTTCTATTAATCTTTTTCACTATTTTGCCCCTCAGCTGCACCTTAAATAAAAGTACATTCTACTAATTTTCTTTGCCATATATTTAAATGTATTAGATGCTGGAACAAATATTGTGAACCACAATAGACTAATTATTTTATTTCTAAAGACTACAGTAATAGGAGGTATTGTATGAGAAATATGGAAAACCTACAAAACAAAACAGTTCTATGACAGAAAACTCCGGGCTAAATTATGTTGGGTCCTGTACAGATGTATTCTGGGAATTCCCTCTTACCTTATCCATCGTATCCACCCCGAAATATTAGGCACTGACTCTAGGTACTCTAGGACTGAAGCACCCTTGGAAAAAATAGTGGGTGCTCACTACCCATGGATAGGCCCCACTGATCAGCTCCTCTCCCTCTCACACAGCACCTGCTACCCACCAAGGATTAGCTGTTCAGTGGCAGACAGGAAGTGCTGGGGAGGGCAGGTGGAGGAGCTGGAAGCAGAAGAGGGAGAGCGAGGGCAGGGCATTCTTAGGGGAGGAGGATAAAACGGGATAGGAAGAGACAGGGCAGGCAGAATGCAGGGGTGGGAGGAGATGGAGTGCAGGTGGCGCAGAAGCAAGAAGAGGTGGGGCAGAGGCAGAATCTTGGAGCATGCAGTGGGGGTGGAGTCTGGGGCAGAGTGGGGACGCCCTCCCCCCGAGAAATCAGAAAGTCAGTGCCTCTACATCCAAGATCCAGCTGGTATCTTGACCTCATCCTGCAGCCACCCAGGTGGAAGATATGATCATTGTCCCATCTTCTCTGCACATTTCCACTGACTGGCAGAAGGTGTTAGAGGCATGATTAGCTATTGCAGCGTAAAAGGAATAGCAGAGAAAGGTGTGGGCTATTCTTTACCCACCCCCTTTAGATAATCTGTTGCGTCTGATCCCCCTTGGGTGATATAGCTGTTCTCCCTGCTCTATGGGCTTCAGCAACTGAAAGTCAGAATTAGCGTCAGACACGTTTGCATTGTATAAGGAAAATATTATTTTGTTTCTCAGTCATCTTATTATGAGTTTTACTGGTTGGTAGTGGTTGGTTGATTTTTGTTTTTCTTTCTTTCCACTTAATTCACACAAGGAATAAAAGGAAAAAATAGGCTTTACATCTGACCTCACAGAATAAAACAAATCGGCTGAATGATAAATCCTTTTCTCTCCCTGAGGTACCAAGCATTTCGGACCCTCATCCTTTATTAGTAGTATCCCCATTCATTATAAAATTACAGCAGGTCCGAAATTGGAGCCTCTTGTGCTAAGAAGGGTACAAATACATAGTGGGGCCGTGTCCAGACTCAGGGTTTTTTTCGGGAAAAGTAGCCTTTTCCCAAAAAAACTTCCCCTGCGTCCAGACTCAAGCCGCGTTCTTTCGAAATTATTTCGAAAGAACGCGGCTTTTCTTTCAATGGCGGTAAACCTCGTTTCACGAGGAAGAACGCCTTCTTTCGAAAGTTCCTCTTTCGAAAGAAGGCGTTCTTCAATGTAAATAGGGCTTCTTCAAAAGAGAGCATCCAGACTCGCTGGGTGCTCTCTTTCGAAAAAGCGGATTGCTCTTTCGAAAGATCCGCCTGCAGTCTAGACGCGATCTTTCGAAAGAGGCTCTTTCGAAAGATGCTTTCGAAAGAGCCTCTTTCGAAAGAAGCCTGCAGTCTAGACATAGCCTAAGAGACAACCCCTGCCCTGGAGAATGTCCAGTCTAATTTAATACAAGAAACAACAAGTCAACATACCAACAACTGGAAGAAGTGTGGTAGGAACATGTGGTTACATAGGATAGCTATTTGTACAATTACTTTTTCATGATTCAAAGATTTTTTTAAGTTTTAAGGGTTGTGTTATTTCTGATATTGGTCATTCCTACTGACGTCTGTGGATGATTTACCACAAACATCATAGTAAAAGAGGGTCCTGAGAAGGAACTGAAATAGATTGGGTTTTCGACTTTCTGGTTTCACAGTGGGGAGAAAATTCCTTCTCAGCTCTTAAAATCCTGTCAGGATGAATCACTAAGGGTATGTCAACACTACAAAGTTAATTCAAACTAATAGACGTTAGTAACTAGCGGAGCTAACTAACTAGCGGAGCGCTTAATTTGAACTAGGTAAACCTCATTTTACGAGGACTAACGCCTAGTTCGAATTAGCTAGTTCGAATTAAGGACTGTGTAGCCACTTAATTCGAAGTAGTGGGAGGCTAGCCCTCCCCAGCTTTCCCTGGTGGCCACTCTGGGCACCACCAGGGAAACTCGTCTGCCCCCCTCCTGGCCCCGGAGCCCTTAAAGGGGCACGGGCTGGCTACGGTGCCCGTGCCAGGTGCAAGCCTGCCAGCACCCAGCCAGCAGACCCTGCACCTGGCACGGCTTGAGGCAGCCACCCGCTGCCACCCAGCCTCCGCCTCTTCCCGGGACCAGGCTGGCGGCTCCCGGAAGCCTGCCCGGGTCTGCAAGAGGCGGGCGCCCGCCTGGTCTAGTGCGGAGATCATGGACCTCATCCACATCCTCTGCACCAGGCACAGGAAAGGGGCCGTCTAGGGCAGGATAGCTGCCAGCCTGGCCACCCGGGAGCAGG